CCCCAAAAACCCAAAACCCCCAAAACCCCAAAACCCCAAAACCCCAAAACCCCAAAACCCCAAAACCCCAAAACCCCCCCAAAACCCCCAAAACCCCCAAAACCCCCAAAACCCCCAAAACCCCAAAACCCCAAACCCCAAAACCCCAAAACCCCAAAACCCCAAAACCCCAAAACCCCAAAACCCCCAAAACCCCAAAACCCCAAAACCCCAAAAACCCCAAAAACCCCAAAACCCTCATTTCTAATATTGCAGCAAATGTTATCTTAAAAATACATATATTGAATAAATAAACTAAAAGAAGGCTAAAGTATGAACAGCCTCCATTGTTCATATTCATTGGTATTTATGCATATATGAATTCCTGTATATCCAAGTAGGGAGTTAACTAGCAATTGATTCATTAATCACCCACCAGAGATTATAAGGTGAGCTCAACAGCTCACTACCCATAAATTACTACATCCATGAAATATCACAACAACCATATTTCATGGATGTAATGAGGAATTATGCTGGTTATAATAAATATTAATAGAAATGAGACTACAAGAAGAGCTAAAGAGCTCACCATCTGGAATTTGCTGTATGTGTGAAATATCATAAACATATTTCATGCATCTGCACTGTCATGTGATTCAGGCCCCATTTTTGATGTTACAATGGGTCTACCCTGTCATGTGACCTAACTCCATTTCTAATGTTATGCTTCCTTACATGTCAGCTGATGCCAGTATAGGCCAGCTTTAGTTTCAAAATCAGCTCCACATTTACAATCATATAGCCTAACCATTTCTATAGAGCAATTCTTGGTATTGAGGTTATGATACATTTTTGATAATATTGCAAGTTTAATAAAATATAAAAGTAGTGTGTGTATGTAGCTGTGCTATGCTAAGCTGTCTAAAAAAATTGTTCAATTGATAATTTTGTTTATTTTATACTTTTCTAGCTTGTTAATTTTGGGGCTAACAACAATAATGATAATTGTATTTATATTATCATAATACAAAATGAGATACATCCTCACTCATTTGAGTTACTCCATCCATCTACATTGTTAATGAATGAAGTCAACATATGTACTTCAAAACTGTATTCTAAAAACTAGAAAAAAAGAATAATGAGAATTAATAAATGTTGTTCTTGCTTTACCCTTTTTATAGCTGTCTTTATACTCACAAAGAAAAGGGCAACTAATGTACATTGCCTATAAAATAAATCTGTGCCCAACATACATCATACACTTTTTGCTATTGTATGGATTTATTGAAAATTGAAAATGAATATTACTCAGTACTCCATAGGAAGTAGTTGTTATTGGGATTGTTGGTGTTGGGCATGTATTTCCTTTATATAAAATCCTCACCAGTTGCCTTTTTCCTTGTGAGCATAAAGACTCACAATGTGACATCAGAAATGGGAGCTAAATCACATGACAGTGCAGATGCATGAAATATGTTTATTGTAATGAGGATTGGACTAGCTATAATATATATTAATAAAAATGAGACTATGGAAAGAGCTGAAGAGCTCACTATTCAGAATTTGCCATACACATAAAATATCATAAACATATTTTATACATCTGTGCTGTCACGTGACTCGGCCCCCATTTCTGATGTCACAGTAATACTCAACTGTCTTGTTCATGTGTGGCCAGTAGAAATCATGCAAATGTGCAAGTGTTGGCTCCACTGCTAAATGTCCAGCTGTAGGTGCATCATGGTTCCTCTTGAAAATCTCTGATTGCAGCCCATCAGTGTGTGGAATGCAGAGTTGCAGTTGTGTATCAGCAATGTAGTAAAGCAGGCCATCAACTTCCTCATAGCACTTGATTTTTGTTGCCAGTCCTTTATCAATTGGCTCATTTGGGTGCAACAAAGCATGGTAGACCTTCTTGAATGTGCCATCCTCCATGTATCCCTGTCAAATATGTTCACGTAGCTCTTCATTGCCTGAGAGCACTGCAACTGCTGATATCTCAAGGTGTGGGTGGTGCGACAGTCCATTGGCCAGCTGGTTGTCCTTGCCAGGCTTGTAAACAATGTCTAGATCATGTTCATTGATGGCATCAAGCCAGCGCAGCTGTGTCGGTGACAAACGACTCTGTGTTTTAATGTACTTGAGTGGGTGGTGATCAGTCTCGATGATAATATGTTGCCCTGCCAAGTAGTGGTGCCATTGCTCCAGGCTCTAGACAATAGCAAACAATTCCTTGTTTTGCACCTCATACTTGCATTGCACGTCATTTAGTTGCTTGGAAAGGTACTTGACAGGGTGACGGCCATCTGGGTGCATCTGCTCAAGCACTGCTCCAACACCAAAATCACTTGCATCAGTGACCAAATATGTCTGCAGGCCCTCACAGAATGGCTTCAAGATTGGGGCTGCACACAGTCGACGTTTCAGCTCAGTGACAGCAGCCTCACAGACAGGTATTGTGACATCAATTATTGCGATGTCACGTGACAATTGCAATTGGGAATTTGCGATTGTTTGAAATTGTGATTGTTTACGATCGTGATTTCTATTTTCATGGGCGATAGTTTTGAATAGATAAGCGGAGCTCTTGAAGCTCCCTTATAGTGGATTTTTAATAAAATTAGTTAGTACGAATAAGTTTTATTACATTATCCATCTTTGCACAGTGTATGAGGCGGTCAAACTCCTGGTGGAAAGCCAGGAGGTCAGCATCAGCCATGAATCGCAGCTGGTTGAGCTTCTGCAGGCCATGGAAGCTGCTGCTGATGGTCTCAAATGTGATCTCCAAATAAGACCTGAGATCATCAAAAGTGGCAGGGCCAGATGCATCCAGACTATCAAGATAATTTTCCCACTCAGCAGCAACTGTCTCTGAGAGACACATGCATGCGAGATCTGCCTTGTGTTCTGGGTGGGTCACACCTAACTGTGCAAATCTCCTCTCCACACTCTTTACCCATATGCTGAGCGGATATGCCTCCACTTTGCCATCAAAACGGGGGATGTGCTCTGCGAGCTTGGCAAATCCAGAGTACACTGAAGGCATGAGTTGAGCTGGTGCAGCTGCAGCAGGTAAAGGGCCAGTAGCAACTGGGAGTTCAGAGCCCGACATGGTGCAGAGACAGAACGAAATATAAGGAATAAAGAAGAGTAAAATAAAATAACTGTGCCAAAGTAGGCTGAGGTTACTTGCAAAGAAAAAACGCAGCAAGTAGAAAATATCAGCAAAAAGTATGCCAAAAAAAAATGTGTGCGGAGGTGCTACCAAGTGTTACGTTAGAAATATATATTCAAACAAAATGAACTAAAAGAAAGCTAAGGGATGAACAGCCTCCACTGTTCATATTCATTAGTATTTATGTGTCCATATGAATTCCCGCATGTCCAAGTAGGGAATTAACTAGCGATTGATTAATGAATCAATCGCCAGAGACAAGCCGCAATTTCTTGTATCACAGGAAGTGGACACTCTATTTATATGAAATCTGGCATTCAAATGGACGGGCGAGAAAGGCAGCTAAAACAGAGCTGTCATTTGGAAAAAGAGATAGAAAACGAAAAATACAGCAAGGTCTTTGTTTTGTGCCAGCCTAAAATAATTTTCCCACGTTTTTGCACCAAGAGGCCTGTATTTGGGCAATATAATAAGCCCAAACTGCCAAAAATAGCAGCAAGATATATCTCCACATGCTTGAAAAAATGTTAAGTGAAAATGATTTTGATACTTTCAAATATACAAACATGCATTCGGCCATTTTCGCAAGCCAAGCAATGATATCTTTTTTTGGGGGAGGGCAAATTTTGTTCTGAATATTTACATGTATATTTAGTAAATAAGTGCTATGCACTGTGTAAAGGTAAAGAAAAGAGAGCATATTGCTTTGGTCACTGTGTGACTTATTGTTTGTGTGGCTAAACAGCCAAGACTGATTAATCAGTCGATCGCCATCAACCAATGATATTAATCAAAAGGATATTTATTTCTTCCAAGAACAATTCTTGGCTGCCTAATAGCCATTTCTTATATGCTCTCCCTGGCATGTAAATAAACTATAATAAAACCTACACCATTGCTTACTTGCCATGCACGTAATCAATTAATCTCAGTAAGGCAACATGCAAAGCCATGTGCCTTAACTGTGGCATATCATTGGAGTCAATTCACAAACTGATTTGCGTAGCATTGGATGTCAGTGCTTTAAAAGCATGTTCATAAAATGATGAATCATTTCCAGCAATGACATATACAGGATGCTGCTTCCATTATTGCTAAAATCCCATGTATAAGTAAGACATGGTTTATCAAATATTCAGCTGGTAATTCTTTGGGCACTCTTGTTCCTTTTTTACTCACAACCACAAACATCTTTACTTTATTTGCCAGCAACCATCATTTTCAACATGCAGATTTTCTAATTCACCACCCTTGCCCTGGTTGCTGTTGCTGCCACTGCTGTGACATCAATTATTACAATCACAATTTCTATTTTTACTATCGATAGTTTTGAATAGATAAGCGGAGCTCTTTAAGCTCCCTTATAGTGGATTTTAAATAAAATTAGTTAGTACGAATAAGTCATTACAATAAACATATTTCACACAATTGTTGAAGGCAGCCAATCACTGCCTAGGCGAATATTTATTATTTCGTGTAAGGTTATAGGCCCTCATGGACGCGAAAAACAAGTCGTTTTTGGAGGTTTTAGTTTAGTTATAGTTGGAGGAAAATACATTGACACTTAAAAATAGTTGTCTCATTGCCAAAACTTTGCAACACAAACCCATCCAGAAATTCAATGCCTCATGAGGACGCACCCTAGTTATCCTGGCGGACGCGCGCAGTGATGACATCGACGGCACCCAACTCCAGCAGCTGCACCATCTGCGGATTCACCACCTCTGTTACGTTTTCTTCTGCTGCTGCCAGTCGATATGCCATGAGAAAAGTGCACAGCCGCACGAGACTCTCCATCAGCATGTGCAAAAGCCCAAACTCAGACACTGACTAGCGCGCAACACCGAGCAATGCAGGCAGAAACACCAGGTCGATCATCTGCCGGTGGTACTCAGTGTGCAGTGCAAACTGCTTTGCCATGGCCACACATACCAATACAAGCATGGTGTCTGACTGCTGTCTCTGTTTGCTGCTGCCTCAAGCCGAGCCATTGGCTGGCTGCAGAAGTGCCTCACTGAGCACCTCAAGAAACCCGCAGCCGGCTGCCTGCCGCATGTGCCGCTTGGACACTGCCGTGTCTGATGTGTCCAGCAGCCCGAGCAGTGTGGTGGCTGCCCGCGTCACTACCTCATTTTCCCTGGGCACGCGCATAGCGTCCACCAGCGCCTCAATGCCGCCGGCCCAAACCACCCTGCCGACCCGCTGTGGCGTCATCACCAGCACCTGCAGCAACACAACTACCCTCAACCGGCCCTTCTCTGGTCCTGAACTGCCCTGAGCCTGCGCGACTATCAACTGCAGCATCTCCTGCCGCATGGCCATATCGAGCACCAGCTCAGATGCAATATCCTGCGGCTTAAAGTTGGTTAATTCCTTGGCACAATTGGCGCTGAATTCGCACATTTTGGGCATCTGAATGTCCAACGCCGCCTCACTGTCTGCACTCCCGTCAGGATTAGTCCCAGCATAGCAGGTGTGCTGCCATTGCTTCTTTTGTTGGTGTGCGTAGCATAAATCTAGCCCGTACTGCAATTGGTCCAGCAGATGCAAAAGTACCCGGTATGTGCCGAGTGCTGTTCTGACGCTAATTGCGAGGTAATACCGGCTATCATCTATGCTAGCAAAAGAATATTGAAAGAGTGTAAAAAATACTAAATTGTAAAATGCAAACTGTGAATTGGAAAGGAAAGAAAAAATGATAAAGTAAATTAAGAAATAAGAAAGAATAACGTTAAATTGAAATCATTTGACAAAATATCAAAAATTGAAAATTATGGATGCAATCAATGTGCGAGTTTAAAAGTATTTGTTTACAGCTAAAGTGATCGGTGAAAGGTGATCGGCAGATCAACGAATCTGTAAATAAGAGGGACAGACAAAAGAGTTTATAACTTTATTAAACGTGAAGGAAATTGAATTAAAAGAAAATATTTCATCTGTTAATTTGTTGGGTCGTAAAAAGGTTTATTAAAAACAAAAAAAGCTAAAGTGCTAGCTTCTTGAATGACCCAGCATTGATCTCGTCCTCAGCTGGTCGCTTAAGCTGGCCACTATCCTCTTTGAGGAGCTCAATTGCCTGGGGATGCATAAATCTGGGAGCAGCATCCCAGTTAGCCTGTCGTTTAAATGTACTGTCCCACCAGAGCTGGTGGCTAATGTACTGGTTTCCTGGTTCAAATAAGAACCGGCGCATTGAGTGGAATAGATCCCTGAATATCTTGCTTGGATTTCCTATCCCAAACAACTCCAGATACTTTTCCTCAACCATCATGATGCTGTACCGACTCAAAGCCAGGCTTTGACTGTCCAGAAATTTGAAGCCCTGAACGTCATCTCTCTTAGTATCGGCTGAGCGCACTGCATCCATAACGACATAGAAAACACTCTCCAGGTCATCAAGGATTCCCCGGATGGGGCTGCTGCTGAGCATGGGAATTCCCATGAAAAGCGGCGTCCCTGTAAATGGGTCCTTGGCCACCTCCACTTGTCCCACTGTTGTTGCATTGAACCCCCACTGTTCGGCAACATCAATGTGTTTGAGTTGGGTTGGGTCAGTGTCCCTGGCAGCATCCTCAGCAGTGCCCCAGCCAATGACCTTGGCACAGCCCCAGTCAATGACATACACCTTGTTGTTTTTGACGCACACATTCCCTGGCGAGATGTCCCTGTGCAGGATACCTGTAATGCGATTTGGACTAGCTATAATATATATTAATAGAAATGAGACTACGGAAAGAGCTCAAGAGCTCACTATTCAGAATTCGCCGTACGCGTAAAATATCATAAACATATTTTACACGTCTGCGCTGTCACGTGACTCGGCCCCCATTTCTGATGTCACATTCGCCCCTACTTAAGATCAGACTCCGTCGGTCTTGGCGATAGCGCGCGCGGTTAAATATCGTTCATATGCTTCTGTCTCATCCACGCTACTCTTGTCCTCCCATGTTCGTCCTTCTATTCCATATCCTTCCCACTGCACCAGGTATTGGCGTTTTCGCCTCCACACACGGTCGTCAACAATCTTTTCGACCTGATACTCGAGGTGTCCTGCAACTTCTACAGGTGGTGGTTCAGAGCGGAGTGCGGCACGGTGATCGTCGGCAGCATGGTATTTTTTTAGGTGTGACCACGAAATGACTGGGTGAATGCGCATGTCGAGTGGGAGTTTGAGGCGGAATGCATTTCGGCCGATCTGTTCTTCGACCTTGTAGGGCCCAGCCCATTTATGTTGCAGTGAGTTGCTGGACCGGTTACGCAGGTAAGGTGGCGTTGTAAAGTTCGTCGAGATCATTACTTCATCGCCTGGCACAATGTCGGGTGAGGTTATCTTCTTGTCGTGGTTTCTGATCATGCGTAGCTGTGCGAATTCGATGTTTTCCTTGACTATTTCGCTAATCTGTTTAATCTTCAGGATTGTATCGTCGGCGTCGGTATTGGGCTCAGCAGTTTCCATGTTGAAGGCGATGGTGGCGGCGTTCAATGGTTGGAAGCTATAATTTGCATAGAATGGGCTGTGCTGTGTCGAGCTGTTGCTGCGACTATTATAGGCGAACTCTGCATGCACTATGTGTTGGTTCCAGTCGTTTTGGTAATTGTTGCACGTCGCACGCAGCATTGACTCCAGTATCTGGTTCACACGCTCAGTCTGTCCATCAGTTTGTGCATGGCCGGCAGTGGACATGTTGAGTTGCGTTCCAGTTTGCTTCCACAGTGCCATCCAGAATGCAGAGCGGAATTTCGGATCACGGTTTGATATTATGGACTCGGGCAGGCCATGTTGGCGGTAGATGGTCTTGAAATACAGGTCGGCGGTTGTCTGGGCGGTTGCGGCATTGTGTGTTGGTACAAAGTGTGCCATCTTGGACAGGCGGTCAACGACGACCATGATTGCATCATATCCGTCCTTTGTCTTAGGTAGGCTGACAATGAAGTCCATGCTCACACTTGACCAGTTGCGTCGCGGGATCTGTAGCGGCTGTAGCGGTCCATCGCTTGGCCTGTTGCTGCCTTTGACTCTTTGGCACAGGTCACACGTTGTGACATAATTCTCACAATCCACATACATGCCTGGCCAATAGAATAGTTCACTCAGCTTGTCGTATGTTGCTTTTATACCCGGGTGTATTGCAGCATCATGGAACTCGGCCAGCAGTAGTGATCTGTCTTGCTTTGTTCCGACGCAGCGGCGTCCTTTCTTGAACAGGACACCACCCTGTGCATGGAATTTGTTTGTAATGTCGCGCTCGGCTCTGGATGTTGGTTCTTCGCCACTACTAATCCTCTCCATAATTTTCTCCAACTTGCTGTCGCCCTTGTAGGAGTTCTCAGGGTTCGCGCTCGTCTTCAGCGTTAGCGCTTTGACAGCAGCCATGCGGACTGCTATCCTCCCCCTTTTCCTGAAGAGCCGAACCCGTTGGCTCCACCGGCTGTCTCCTCAAAGGACTTGACCTCAGTGATGTGTGAGTGTGCGATCTTGGTTGGAATCAACTGTGCTATGCGGTCATGTGCAGCGAACGGAATCTCTATATTGCCTGTGTTGAACAGGAGTACTGAAATCTCACCGCGGTAGCCCCCGTCGACTATTCCTCCGAGCACCACAACACCCTTGGCAGCCAGGCTACTGTGTGGGGCAATGCGCAGGTATGTGCCTATTGGCGCCTTGGCGGCGATGCCTAATGGGACAAGGTGTTGGGCCTTGGGCTCGAGCACAAACTTGGTTATACAGTATACATCAAATCCAGCGTCATCTGGATATGCCTTGCAAGGCATCGTCGCATCGTCGTGTAGCAGCTGAACCTCCATGCTGTTGGCAGTTGTGCGTGGCACAAACAGTGCGCACAGTTTCCATTTTTCAAATTGGTCTATCAGGTCGTCGTTGTGCGTATTGTCCTTTGGCTGGTCAGTCTCCATGGTTGCACTCATCGTTTCTGCAGCCACTGTCTCTTGTGTTCGTTTGGCTTCTGTTTCGGCTTCAGCGCGACATCCGCGTTGGTAGTTCTTGTAGTGCAGCGACTTGCGCACATATTCAGCACGGTTTAGTTCTCTGCGCTCATCGGCAGTCAAATATGTTCTGTCGACCACGGCTGGCGTTGGCGGAAAATTCGTTGTCTGTGCAGCTGGAGTGGTTGTCTTGATATTGGGCATGGGTATGGGCATAGGTATAGGTACGGATGTGTGTGCGGCGTCATCGTTTTTACTCGTGTTGTTCAGCGGGGCATCATTTAGTGGTATAGCTGGTGCAGTCAGTCCTGTCGGTGGCGTCAGTGCCATGTGTGGCACCTTGCCTGAATGTGACGCTGCGTATACTATGTTGTCGGGTTGCGATTCGAGTGAGCGTGACAAGCCGTCAGCAACTGCATTTTGAGCGCCCTTGCGGTAAATGATTTTCATGTCGAATTCCTGCCAGATATCCAGCCAGCGGGCCTGGCGCGGGGATATGTTGTTTTGCGTCTTAAGGAACTCGATTGATTTGTGGTCTGTAATCACTTCAAACTTGATGCCATGTAGGTAATGCCGCCAGAGGACCAGTGCACGAATGATTGCAAGAAGTTCTTGCTCGTGGACTGCATAGTTGCGCTGTGCTGGTCCCAGCTTTGCCGAATAGAATGCCACTGGGCACCACACCTTGTCATGTCGTTGGTGTAGGACACCGCCAATTGCAGAGCCGGATGCATCTGTCTCGACTCTCGTTTCGCAAGTTGGATCATACTGATGGAGTATTGGTGCTGTGGATAGTTGCTGCTTCAGCTCGGTGAAAGCCCTGTCAGCCTGGTCGTTCCACGAAAAGTCGGTATTGCATAGCAAATCGGTCAGCGGTAGTGCTATTCTAGCATAGTTTTTAATAAACCGGCGGTAGTAGCCGCTTAATCCAAGGAATGCGCGGATGTCTGTAATTGTCTCTGGCGTGCGCCACTCTTTAACGGCATCTACTTTGCGTGGGTCAGTCGCAATACCCTTGCCTGAAATGACAAACCCAAGGAAGTCGACTGTGTCTTTGAAGAATGCACATTTTTCGGGTTTTGTGTGCAGGTTGTGCTCCTTGAGGCAGGCGAGTACATCCTCGAGATCTTTTGCATGGTCGGCGTCATTCTTTGAAAAGACTAAGATGTCGTCTAGGTACACGATGCACGTTTTGCCAAGTAGGTTGCGCAGCGCATGGTTCATGACACGTTGGAAGACGGCAGGGGCATTTGTCAGCCCGAAAGGTACAACTGTGAATTCAAATGACCCTTGTTTTGTGCGGAAGGCAGTTTTGGCGATGTCTGCATTGCAAATTCGCACCTGGTGGTAAGCCTGTACCAAATCGATTTTCGAGAAAACTTTTGCGCCACGGGTGTCGTCAAGCAAATCGTCTATACGCGGCATTGGGAATGCATCTTTTATCGTCACTGCGTTCAGGCCACGGTAGTCAACACACAGGCGCATTGATCCATCCTTTTTCTTGACAAAGAGGACTGGTGCACCCCATGGGGAAGATGACGGGCGGATATACCCCTTTGCAAGTAAGTCAGTCACTTGTCGGTCTAGTTCATCCATCTCTGCATGTGACAGGCGGTATGGTGCCTTGGTCACAGGTGCTGTGCCCTCATGTACATGGATTTCCATCTCAGGGCCGCCTGGTGGTGGTCGTTTGGAGGGCGGCTGATCAAGGACTTGGGTGTATCTGGCATGTAGCTCCTGTAGCGCCCTGTCTTGTGTCGTCGTGGTTGCTGCCACATGGATTGCTGGATTGGTATCGTTGTCAGGGAATGTAATTCGTAGCCATCCCCATTCCTCAATTTGGTCGTTTGCACGTGCAGTTTTCAGTGCACTGATTGACATAGGCTTCAGCTGGTCCTCGTCGGTCCGAGGCTCTGCATTACCCCGGATGGACCAGCTTTTCCCGCCATAGTCAAATGTCACCTTGTCAAGGTGGCTGTGGATCGTGGCCTTGTGTTTTTTTAGCCAATTATTTCCTAATATTATATCTTCGGAAACTGGGAGAACAAGGCAATGTACTGTAATTGTTAGGTTGCTCAGGAGGCGCAGCGTTACTGTGCATGACTCGGTGCAGTCCTTGTAGTGTGCGCCATTGGCCAGTTGTATTGGTTGGCTGTGTTGTAGTCGTTCGGATTTCAGTTTAAGTCGGTCGCGGGTCTGTTCGTTGATGATGGTAATTTGTGATCCATTGTCGATGAGCACACGGATGGCTTTGGTGTCTATAGTTGCATTTAAAATCAGTTGGGGCTCAGGTGAGGTTTGTCTGTTAATAGCGGTTTTATTTGGGGGGCAAACGGCAATTTCAGAGATGATAAGGGCAGAGGACTCACATCCACTCATGCCCTTCTTGCTTTTGGGTGTGTATTCTTAGGGCAGCGATGCCAC